ACAGTTAGTTATCTGGGAAATTTGGTTAATTATCCCTCGATAAGTTGTATTTAATCCTTCCTCAAGGATTAGATCTAGGGCATGTCGTTTAAGTTCTTCAAGTAGTGTAGTTTTTTCTTCTTGATTGATAGAGCAATCTCTTCTTTCAATTCTGATTGAATTTACTACTTCTCTTCGATCTGGTTGTATAAAAATTAGTTGTTTCCTGTTATAAGTTTTTATTACTAAGAATTGTTGTATTTCAATTTGTATTTCTCTAAGCCACTGTTTTGTAGATATTTCTTCTTGATTTTTCTCATCTCGGTCCATTTAGTAGTATTGTTTTTAGGGTTTACTTTTTAGGGCTTTTTTTATATTTTTAGAGTTATTTTGATTTTCAGAATTATTTTGATTTTTCTATTCCCTTTTCGGGTTTATCTTTGGTTTTATCTTTGAATTCTGAGTCATCTGCTTTGATTAATAATTCTTGTGCAATGCATTTAAGTAATGCTTGCCACAATTTGTTTTTATTTTGTCTATGCCAAATATATTCTGATAAGCATGGTTCAATATTATCAATGTTATGATTTTTTGCCGGTATTAGTAATTTAATTCCATTCCAATGAGCTTTAATAGTGTTTGTGTGAGCTCCAATCTCAGGGTCTACAAAATTCTGTGAATGGTTTATGGTTTTGTGTTGGTGTCCAAGTTTAATCTCAATGTTCTAATAAGACTTGAAACAATCTGAGTAAATAATCGATCCTTCTTCAATGTTATCTTGTATTACTTTTAGTAATGTTTCTTCTTTTCTATCTAGTACAACTGTTACAAATATTCATTTTTTAGTTGTCCTTTCTACTGCGCCAAATACCCAAACACCTTCGCAGTATCTTCTGTGGTGGTATTTGACTTTTCCAAATTTGGACTCATCACATTCTACAATGATATCTGGTCCACCTATCTTTTGTTTTATTTCTTCCAGGTATGACTGGATTAAATTTCTAATACTGTTTACGTGATGGCTAATTGTTTGCATTGATCATTCTGTAACTATCGCAATTGACATCACAGGCATTCTATTTATCCAAAAATAGTATATCATAAGTACAAGGTTAATTGGTAATTTATTCTCTTCAAACTATAAATTAGTCATCAAAGATTGCGTCTTTTTGCAATTCTGATTATTGCATCTAAATATTCTTTCATTCATGTAGAGTTTCATGTGTTGGTCACATTGTGGGCAATTTAGACTTTTATAGATACAGACATTATCTTGTAAATATTCAATGCATTTGTCATCATTACTTAAGATATTCCAACATTCCAAAATCGTGGGAATTTTGTAAATTTCTTGATTATCTATTTTAGTCATAGTTTCATTAATTAAAGATAATCTTTCAAAATAAAGAATATCTTCTATCAGTTTTATTGGTATTACTCTTGTGTTAAAATACCAAGGTTCTATCTCTTTTGATAAGCCTATTTCAGTAATTTTGCATGGGAAGTAATTTGAATTGTATACTGATAAGATAAAGAATATTTCTATAATGTTGTTCATTATATATTGGAGTGTTTTTTGTCAATTTTCTTTCAATTTTTTACTCCTTTTTTATACTTTCGAATGCTTATCCTTAATATTCTTTTGAATGCTTTATTAATTTCTAAATTTCTTTTTCATCAAATTGTTTCAACTATATTGTTTGTTTTAGTATATCATTTATAATTTTTAGGAGTCCCATATAATACTCTTTTGTTATGTATTTATCAACCGATTTGTAATCTATTATGTCTGCATCTAGCGATAGGAGTGATTTGTCATATATTGACAATAGTTGTCAATGTTGTGATCAACAGTTGGATTTTTATCGATTTCTTTTGGAAGCCACAGAGTCTCATTATGAAGTGTCTCAGTCTTTTGTACTGTTTTTTTGGAGTAATGGGCGAGTTGAGGAAATTGGTTCTTTATATAAAGAATTTCTCTCAACTCATTACCGAGTAGTCCTAGAGAATCTACCATTTTTGCCTGAATATTTTGATGGCTCTTCACACAGATTCGTCAATCATAATAATTTTTACTGTGATCTTTACAATAAATCTTCATTTTCTCCAGATGATGATTTTAATAAATCAGATTTTCAAATGGAACCCACTAAGGGTAAGGATTAGTCTTATTGGATTATCATGCACTGCCGTACTGGAGTAGTTAGTAGACTAACTATGTCCAACTCACAGCTCTGGTTGGTGGTGCATGTTGGTCGAATTTTACTAATTTCTTTTTAGCTTCCATTTTAGACCATAGAACTGATTTGGTTGAATTTGAGTATTCTAATTCCAAATTTCTGAAATTTGATTCTTGTGAATATTTGAAAGATTCTTTTAATCAGCTTGCAGTTTATTCATGTTAGCATTGTGGTCTTTCTCCTAATAATTGTTGCTATAGTGATAGTTTTGTATCATCTTGTAATTCTTATGGTGACTCTGTTTATTTTGGTGTTAATTGGTCTGAGGAGGATTGGTAATTGTGACGATGATTTAGGTTAATTATTTTTGTTTCTTTTTAATTTCCTGTTTACACTTTTTTTTGATTATTTTAGCTAGATCACTTAAATCATTTTCTTTAGCTGCTTTTTCAATTTTTGTTAATTGTTTTTGAAGCTTGGCCTTTTCTTCCTTTTTTACTTCTTTTAATATTTTTTTTTCTTTTTCTAATTGTTGTAATTTATCAGTTGTTTCTCGTGATAAGTAGTTTGCAGCATGGTTTTCTGCGCCTACTATCCTGTGTATTATATAATTATACTCTTGCAATTGTAAAATTCAATTCATCATTGTATGATTTGTACAACTTTTCATTGATTTTGTTGATGACATTCCTGTTGAGTCAGTATAAATATGTATTTGTTGTGTTCCAATATAGTGTTTCCATTTTTCTAGGAATACGTATATTGCATATAATTCTTTTTGTGTACTAGGCCAACAGCATTGTGATTTATTTAATCCTACTGAGCCTATTTCTATTATGTGTCTTCCTGATTTGATTGGTTTGAAATAGTCTTTCAGTTCCTCTTTGAGCATCTCTTGTTTAGATACTTTTTTATAATGTTGCCATTCGAAATCTTCTTGATACAAGATTGTGGCTATGGCTTCTTGTAAAGCATCATATTCCATAAAGAATGGTTGTTTTGGATCTGAAAATGATAGGGCTAATTCTCTTTTCATTTCTTCCTTAAGTCATTCAAATGCTTTTGTGCATTCATCATCCTATTAGAACTCTTTATTTTCTGTTAGTTTATAAAGTGGATCTGCTATTTTTCCAAAGTCGTAAATGTATGGTCTGAAGTAGTTTATGAATCCTAAAAATTGTTGTACTTCTTTTTTAGAAGTTGGAGTCTTGAATTTATCTACTTTCTTGCTTTTTAAAGCATTTTTTCATATTTTTCCATATTCTACTTTATGATTGAGTATTGTTGTTTTGTTGACACAGAACTCGTATTTAGAGGGTTTAAGTTTCAGGCCCCCTTTTTCAAGCTCTATTAACGTCCTCATTAATCTATCTCTTATTTCTCTAATAGAGTTTGCAACAATAGTCAAATCATCCATATAGAGTAGAATCTAATCAAATTTAGATAGTCATTTATTTACTGCTGCTATTAAGTATGCAGGTGTAGTACTAATTCCAAAGGGTAGATTATTCCATTCATAAGTGCCATATTTCCCAAATATACTAGCAGTATATTTTCTGCTATTCTCGTGCATAAGGAGTTGCCAGTATGCTGATTTTAAATTCATTGTTGTATATATTCTATGTGCAGCTATTTTCCGCAGTATTTGATGTATATCAGGTAAAGGTTGTTTAAATTGGCGTAAATGTTTATTTAGGCCTCTATAGTCTATGGCTATTTTTTTTGTGCTATCTTTTTTGGTTATTACCAAGACGTTTACTCCCCATTCTGATTGCACTAGGTATACAATTCTGTTTTTCACTAGATTATCCAAAAGGGTTTTTATGATTTTTAATTCTTCTTCAGAGTATTTTCTAACCTGCTGGCATTTATCTCTCTCTGGAATTTCAGATTCCGGTGTTTTTAATTTTAATTCTATTTTCAGGATTACTTCAGGTTTTATACTAGTCCCTGGTTCAGGTTTTTCTCTAAAACAGTCAATATATTTTTCCAATATATCACCTAAGTGTCTTCTTATTTCAGGTTCACAATTTTTCTTCAAGATTTCAATTCGTTCTTTAACAGCTTCCTTCTTATTTGTCCAATCTATTTCTCTTTTCTTCAGAATCTCAATTTCATTGAGAAAAAATTTTGGTAACTTTTCTAGTATTTTAACATTTCCAATATGTTGATCTTTACTTATTTGAACTTCATTTTCTGAGTAGTTTGCTATTAGTATATAGTCTCCATTTGCTATTCCTGGTTGAATAGCTATTTCTTTTTTAGTTAAGTATTCTGGGGTTCCTATATATCCATTTTTTATAGGTTTTCTTATTTTTATTGATAATATTATATGTTTTGGTAATACAATATTCTGTATACTATATATCTGATCATCCTTTTTTGCATCTAATAATACTGTAGGTGTTATTTTCTTTCTTTTAATAGAGTGTATATGGTTTAATCGTATATGAAGATTGTTGTTTTTTATATGTTCTTGTACTTCTTTATCCATTTTTCTAGAAATTTTTGTTGTTCTTTAGTTAAACTTTCATCATCACTTTTATCAGCTGGTGCTCTTATTCCAATATTTGTTGAAGTTTGTGGTTGATTTTTAGTATAAGTTTTAAGTAATTGATTTCATGCTGGTGTTAAAGATGTCGTATAGGGTCATCCTTTAAAGGTAGATTGTATTTGTATTTGTTGAGGTTTTGAATTATTTTCTTGATTAAATGCTCTTTCAATATTTTGAGATGTTTCTTGTTCATTGTTTTCATTTTCAGAATTTGTTACTAATGGTGTATACATTTTTTGGTTTTTGTGCCATGATGCTGGTGATGAAGTATTGCTTCTGTCTATAGGTCATTTTGGATTTCTTGTTTGTTGGTTATTTTGAATTGGTGTTGGTGTTGGTAATAATATATTAGGAGTATTTGTAAAGTCTACAGAGTTTCTTAAGCTTAATAGTTGTTTAGGGCTATAAGTATTTTGTTTTGAGGATTCTGATCCTACAAATACTTGTTTCCATCCTCCTGTGGGGGATAAAGGTCTTAATCTTTCAATTATTGAGGGCATCCACCTTCTTTTTCTTTCAGAAGCATCACTATCAATTGATGATTTATCAAATTCTGTTGGTGATTTTGGTGGCGATCTTGGAGATCCTGGATATTGATATTCTTCTCGATATCCTGTTTTAGGTAGTTCTAATCTTGGAGGTGGTGGTTTAGTTCGTATTTGTGATTGATTTTTTGATAATTGCATTTCAATATTTTCTTCAATTATCATTTGGCCTTTTGTTTCTAACTGTGTTGCAAGCAGGTCTCTGTACTTATTTTGTATTGCTTTTCTGGCTTCTTCGTTTTGTGCATTATTTGCTCCTAATAATAATTCATTTAATACTTCTCTTTGGTCCCATTCTGGCATTGCTTTGAATTGATCACTTGTATTAGTGATTGCTGGATTAGTATCTCTTTCATATTCTTCAATCATGTCATTAATAGCTCCTCTTAATGCAAATATAGATGCATCATTTTATTTGATATTTTATTTAAAAAATCAAATATATATTCTCTTCGTGATTCATGAGCTTTTCTATGAGTTACACCTGTTACTTTTTCTTTTATTTTTAACATTTCTTCTAACTAATCATCATCTAGTACTAAAGTATAGTTGTAATAATATTGAATTTAATACAATTTTGTTCATAATTGCTTAAATTTTTCTTCAATTTTTGGATCTTTAATATCATCCCTATTCTTTAGTATTTGTTCCCAGTTTGTTAGCTTTTGTCTTATTATCATTCTTGGTCATATTGTTAGAGATCTACTTGGTGATCTACTTGGTATTTTTACTTTTTTACCTTTTCTATCACTTGATTTTGCTTGTGGGAATACTTCTTCTTCAAACTAATTTATAGTTTGAATTGTTTCTTCAAGCATTTTATTGTTAAGCTGTCTTTGGTCTTGTCCTTGTGGTTCTTTATTTGCTGGTCCTAGTGTCATTCTTGCTAACTGTTCAGCTAAGTCTACTATTTCAGGTTCTTCATAGGTTATTCCAAATCCTATATCTGTTCCCATAGTAGACATTACATTTTCTGAATTTTCCTGTTGGTCAATTTCATTAGACAATTGTTTTCTTTTTTGATCTTTTTCTAATAGATCATTTGCATATTCTCTGAGTTTCTGTACTTCCTGTACTTGTGCTAATTGATTTTGCTGTTCTATACTTGGTGTTTCTAATATTATTGCACAGACCTCTTTGTGCTGAGCTATCATTTAATAGACTTCTTGTGATATGGTGCTAGTTGGATCCATTAAGTGTATATGCTTATCCATTCCTTTTCCAAATGTACATTCTGGTGGACTATTGTTAATATGTATTAACAATATCTCTTGTCCATACATATATAGTATATTTCTAAATTCATATACCATTTTTCCACATCCTGCAGCATAGAAATGCTGGGTATCGAAGCAAATTTTCTATTTGCTTTCTTTCTTTTTTCTTGTCTTTGAATCTTAACTCTTGTTTTATACTATCCAATATATCCACGAGGTCAGCAACTATTGCACCAAAACAGTTGTTAGATGTACTGTTTTCCAATAAGATTGCTATTTTCATTAGTTGTATCTTTTCTAATATATAGTTGACATTATCGATCACGTCTGATCGTTGTTATTTATTTTTTGTCCCTAAATGTAGGACTGCCTATCTGATGTTCATTTCCTCTGCAAGTGCACATTCTTCTATAATTCTTTTAATTTTCTAATTATACTTTGTTGTCTCTATACAGTTGATCATTAATGTATAGTTCAAGTGTCGTATGTAGTACTATTTTTAATCCTATATTTCTATTTCCTTCTATTTTATCTCTATCTGCTTTTTTATTATGCATTGCCATTTTCAATGCTTTATATTTTGGAGTATTCTCTGATTCTTGATATTTTAAGAATATCTGAAGGATATTTGATTGTGTCAATACAGCTGTGGATACTATTTCAGTTCATATTCCATCTGTTGTTACTTCTATAAGTTTCTTTCATTGCTTATTTAAAGAAACTTGTCATTTTAATTCTCTAATTTGTTCTTCAAAAGTTGGAGGTAATATACTTTTAATAAACTTATAGTTTTCTTTGGGTTTATATTTTTTAATTACCTAATTGATTTGGTTGGTATTGAAGTTTTTGTTGATGGTTTTCTGATATTCTTTTTGAGTTTTTGTTGTGGATATTTTTTAATGGCATGTAAATATTCTTTTAATATTTTCTTGCTAATTTTAGTATCTTTAGAGACTTTCTTTTTGTCTTCTTTATTTGATTTGTTAGATTTTTTGTCTAATCTGAGCTCGAATTTATTTCATTCATCACGTTGGACATTATCTTGAGCATTAGCGAGAGATGCAACCAATGTGTGTCTCTTTGCCAATTTTGTATCATAAGGAATTGTTTTTTGTTCACCACATTGGGCACCATCGCAGGGTTTTTTCTTGCTTTTAGGGGGTGTATCCCTAGCTTTTCGAGTGAGATGACTAGGTGCAACAGTTGTGGGTGTGTTTATATTATTGTCACATGATACTGGGGTAGACTCTTCTTTTTTCAAGGTGCAAGAGAGATTTCCTGAAACAGAGTTAAGATTTAACCCTGATAACCCTTGTGATTAGTTCAGGGGAATATCTTGATATGATATTGATTTCTCATTTATTCGAGCTATTTTATTAGTTCTATCTTTTGAGATGTTTAATCTGTCTTGATCTACTTCTGATAAGAGCATATAAGCTTGGTCTCCTTCAAGAATTGATATTTTAAGCATTGCTTTTATATCTTCCACTTGAAATATTGCTTTTACTTGTCCAAGGTTTTCTATTGTTTGTCCTCCTGGTAAAATAGCAGTTGATTTCTTTGTGATGTCTATTTTTTCTAGTAATCCTAATTCTTTTGCCATATCTAATCCTATAACATTTGCACTTGCTCCTTCGTCTAGTAATACTAGTATTGGTTTGTTATTTAACAATGCTATAAATTGGTATTGCTTTTTTCCTTTTGGTCTAAGATTTCATTTAGCTTCTTTTGGAAATTTGTAGGTTTTAAGAAGATAATTGTATTCATTTTGTTTGAATGCTTTCTTTATCATTTCTTTATTTGTAGGTTTGGCAGAGAACTTTTGATACTTTTGATAAATAATAGGATCTTTATTAAGTATTTTAGAGTTAATACATTTGATATTATTAATATTTTGTATTTTGGTAATACTAATAGTGTTTATGTTCTCTCTAGTGTAGCCTTTAGAAGGTTTCCTCTCAAACACTAGGTGAGTCACCTATTCAAAAGAATTAACTTTCTTCCGAATAGTTTTATGAAGGTTATTTGCAGTTATAACTTCTTTATTATCTGATTCTTTGGTTTCTTTCTCAGATTCTGAATAGTATTCTTCCTCACTTTCTTTTTCATTTTCTTCATAATGTCAGAATTTCTTTTTGGTAAATTTTCCTTTATATGGTTTTCCTTTTTCTTTATTATAAGGTTTCTTTGAGATGTTTCCTTTTTTGAATCTTCCTATTTCCATTGGTACTGTTCTTCTTTCTACTTTCTTTCCATTCATATGTGTTCAATTATTCTGAGTACATCCTGGGTGATGTTTTGGGTATGGTTTTCCACATTGTAAGCAAAATCTTTTCTTCTTGAGTTTCCAATTATTTACATTGTTAAAGGAGTCTTTTTTAGTATTTGAGTAGCAATTTCTGGCAAAATGTTCTAGTTTTCCACATTTAAAGCAGTTTTCTTTAGGTTTATCATTTTGCAAAATATTAATATTTTTTATTGAGACTTTCTTTTGAGATCATTCTTTTCTGTTGAGTTTTGGATTATTTACTTTGGTTACTTTGATATTGGCTAATTTTCCAAAGTTGATTTTTCTACTTTGTAACATTATATGTCTTTCTGCTTGGAATGCTCTTTCTCCTGCTTCCCAAAATTCTTGTAAAGTTGTTGGGTTAGCATGGTGAATTGCTCTTTGTATTTCTATGGGCATTCTTGTTTTGAGATGATTATATTCTCCTGCTTTGAAGTTGTCATTGAATAGGTATCCGGAGATTTGCATTAGTTTTTTATAATTGCTTCTTCATGCAGAGAATGCTGATTCATCTTTCCAATTTGTTTTTACAAAGGTATGTTTTAGGAACTTTTCTTGCTATGCTTGTTGGATATCATTTTTGATGAATACTCTATCAAGGATTTCTCTCTATCCTTTTTGAATATGGGCTGCTGCTACTATTACTCAGGCTGTAAATGCTGTTGCAGCATTATTTCTGCTCCATTATATTTATGGTTACTTGCAAGAGGATATCCACTATGATCTGGTAAAGTATTTTTAATGTCATCTTGGTGTTGACATTTGATCTGAACCAGCTTAAAGCTTCATCTTTATTTTCTTCATAAATATCTAATGCTACGTCAGATAGTTTGGTAGATACTTTTGCCATTATTGCTCTCCATAATGAAGTATTGCAGAATACTTTTGGGGCATTGTTTGCATTTGCTATTTGATAGTTGGCATTTTGTCTTGTGTATTCTTCGTCAGGATTTCCTGAGAATACTTCAACTTCAAATAATATTTTTGGTATATATGAAGAGATTGTAGTTTCTGTTTGATTTCTCCATTTGATATATTTTTTAGAGTCTCCACTAAAAGGTTGTATTGCATTTTCTAGTTCTTAAATATTTGGTATTTTAAGTTTTGTTGCCATTTTTAACTAAAATATTCTCTATAACTTATTAGTTTAAATCGATATTCGCACTGTGCTGTTTTTAACCACTTTCTGATATTATCTTTAGTTGCTCTGATTACTTGAAGTATGTCTTCTAGGATTTGTTTTTCTCCTACTAAGAATGAGTATAATAATAGAGCTGCTATTTCTTCTTCTATGATATCAATATAGTAATTTTCTTCTTCCTCATATGTCCAGATTCTATTTTGGTTATCTGTTCGTGTTTTGATTACTTTTCTTGTTGCTGGTGTTCCTAGATTATTTAGTTTATAATATAATCTTAGTATAACTTCTTTAATTTTTGCTTTTTCTGTGTTTTGCAAAAGTTTTGGATATTTTTGAAAGAATTGGTTGAAAACTCCTTGGAAGGTTATTTCTGTTTTGGGGTTCATTTACTAGTAAAGAATTCTGGTTTTAAGTTCATTTCTTCAGAAAGTTTCTTTATAAACTCTTCTGGTTCTTTATATTGTATTGCCAGTTGTAGTAGTTTTGGATGTGATCTTGGTGCTAGTTTTCCATTAATATAGGCTTCTTTATATTTGTGGAGTACGTATCTTTCTGCAATTTCTTTTACAGGTTGACTTTTTGTTATAACTTTTGGTCTTGGTCTAATGACAGGTAGTTGTTTAGGAATTTCTTTTTCCTTGATAACAGTTATTTCTTTATATACTTCTTTAAGTAGTTATAGAAGTGATAATACTATTCCTTTATAGTCTGATTTAATAATATACTTGTGTTTATTGTGGTAATAATTTATGGTTTTCTCATTTATTAAGCTTTCTTGGTCTAGTTGTTATATCAATTACTTTAACATATTATTATGATAGGATTGATAGTGTGTAGCAAATTGCTGCTGCTAATATTGCTACTTCTATAACGTGTGTTGCTGATAATACTATTCTGTCAAATGCTGTTACTAAGATGCAAGGTTGTTTATCCACAGTGTGAAGTTTGCAAATATTTTGAATATTGGTAGTGTTGATTCACTTGTTGTTTCTTGTTGGTTATCCACGGTGTTTAACTTGTTATTACGTTTCTAACTTGTGCTGCTAATTTGGCATTTTCTTTTTGAACGTCGTGTTCTAGATATTTTCTTTTAATATTTTTTCTTCTTTTAATTACTATGATTACTGTTATGGCTATTAATACTATTGCAGTTGCTATTATTCCAAGTAATTCTTGTACGTTTGGGTCAAGTATGAATTGTGGTGATTCAGTAATTGTTGGTGTACTTGTTGGTGTTATTGTAGATACTATTGTTGAAAATAAGGTCAAGATTATAGTTAATGGTGTAATAGTTATTGGTATAACTACGTTACTCATTAATATCTTGTTTCAAATAAATTATTAACTTTGTTAATGTTTGGTCCTAGAATTTGTCAATTTAGTTGTTGCTTGGTTATGCCTTGGATAGTTCTGTTCCTGGTGTTATTGGTTGTATATATTGTTGATATCTTCTCTTCTTATGTTGAAGTATGATTATGAGTGTTACTACTCCTATCAAGATTATTGCAAAGGTAATTATTCCTCCTGTAATTTCAAGTTCAGTTGTTATTTCCTGAGATGTATTGTCAGTTGTTGACATTTATTTCCTTTTCCAATATGATTTATTGGTTGGTAGAGGTGGTGCAGGTGGTATTACTCCTGGTCGGAATGTTACGTTGGGTTGTGGTGTTATTTCTATTAGTTGAGGTGTTATACCAATTGGTCTTGGTTGTGGTACTATATTATTTGGTTGGGGTCTAAATCCAAAGAGTTGATTAAGTCTTTGTTGGACTTGTATGTCTCTCGAACTTTGTGATTGTGTTCTTGATATTGGATTGGATTGAAGGTTTCGAGGTTTCTTTGGTACTATTGGTACTTGAAAGTGTACTTGTCTATTAGAGTTTGGAATAGTTATTGTTTTCTGATTTGTCTATGGTCGGATGGTCTAGTGTTAGGCATATAAGGTTAAATTTCTTTTTTAGCAACAGGTTAATGGTTGTAGGTATTGGTCTACTCCAGGTATGTTCTTATTGATCTTCTTTTTATACTTTGGTGTTTACAACAACAATAGAGTATTACTATGATTAGTAATGCTACAAAGGTTTCTATTATTAATTCATACAATAGTTGTGTAGCTACAGAATTGTTTTCAAAGGTGTTGCAGCTTATTGTTGAATTAGTTTTAGTCATCAATTGTTGATATTGATTTGTAAGTTAGATGATTATTAATTATTAATATTGTTGTGGATGATATTATTGTTATTATGATTATTAATTCTATTGTGATCGTTAATAGAATTGTTATGATCATGCGTTGTTTGGTGTATTATTCAGCAGTGTAATTGTAAATAATTATTAATATTCTTGTTATTCCGGTGATTGTTTTATTAATTTAAATAGATTTGTCATCAAAGTTTATCTGATTAAGTCAGTTTGATTGTACTGTGGTAATGTTAAGTTTTAAAGCCTTATGATCTGTTTCTTGTTGCTTCAGAGTTTTCTTTTACACATAAGTATTATTTTAGTTATGGTAGTTATTGCAGTTAATATGGTGATTATTAATGCAACAAAGGTGTTTACAGCTTCTTTATTCTGTAAGAAGTCTGGTTGATTTGTAATCAAAGATGTTTGGGTTACAATAGAACTTATTGTGCTGGCAACTTGAATATTTGTTGGTAAGGCAACTGTTACATTTATTACGTCAGTTTTAGAGATTCTATTTTGTAAGCAGATTACTAATATAAAGATTATTAAGCAAATTTTGCTTTGTAATAATAAGTTTCGCATTCGTATTGTTGAATTACTAATTTCTGGTGGTTTTGATATAGTTGTCTTGTTAGATGATCAGTTTGCAAGTTTCAACAATAAGGTTTCATTTTATCTTTTTCAGCCTTACTGGTCGTCAAAATCAGATTAGGTTGATTATAGTAGTTAATCTTCTGAATTAGAGTAAGCTTTCCTTCAATCATACTTGCTTAAGAGTTTTTTAAGCTCTATTCGCTTTGCAATACATTTGCTTGGTAAGTTTGGTTTGGATAGTTGTATAATTTATTTCTTTTCTATATGCCTTTCTGTTATAATTTTGTTAGTATAGATATATTTTTTAGTGGTAAATGCTTTTTGCATTGCTAATTTCTTTTCACAGTGGGCTAGGCCATGCTCTTTTCTTGTGGAATGGTTTTGTTAATTATCTATTCAGAGGTGGATAAAGTATCTGAAGTACTACTTGGTTACTACTATGCCTCTACCTGGGCATTAAGCTATCTAAGCTTTATTACTTTGGCATCGGATTATTTACTGTTTATGTTTATGTAGAAGGATTATAGGATTATACTATTACTTGTACAAGGTTTGTATTTAATAAATTGGTTTTTATTAAAATTATTTAGTGAAGTACTATACTAATTATATTTGTTATATCTTTTAGCTCTCTAGTTCTGTTCCCGAATGTCTGTTATTTCTATATCATCCCTTTTATATTATGTGAATATAATATGGTCTCATTTTATTGTAAAGCACCATCTCTATTATATTGTTCTTTTGTGAACAATCCTCAGATTCATATATTATAATGATTTCTCTTTTGGGTAAAAGAGTTCGTGTGAGCGCCTATTGTTTATTATTGATTGTGAAGAGGTAACAATAATATTATTGTTCTTTAATATTATTCAATGCCATGTCTAGACTCCTGTAGTTTTATTGGATGCCTTTGGACATATGAGATTTGTCAGATCGATATTGGTAATCATTATAAGGTTGTTTGATCTTTGAGAGTTCTATCATTGGGCACATCAGGTTTGTCTTATGAGTTGGGTGCTATTAATCTTTTCCCTTCTCATGTGTTATTCTTTTTGTTGGCTTCCATCGCAGGGTTTTGATTATTAATTCTTCCAGCCACTTTTTATAAGTGTTTAGGTGTTTATCTTTTTGAGTGTTTATGGAGCACTCTTGTTGGGTGCATTGTGTTTCTTTTTTCTTTAGGACATCTCTTCATGAGCTTCTTTTGACTCTTGGCAAATTAGTTTTGTTATTAGGTGTATTGCT